AAGTACTTGAGTACTCAATTTGTGGACAGAATTCCACATAAGAATTGTCACTTAACACTTTTGATATTTCTTACTAGTAAGCTACTATCAGGAATATTAGCTGTATTAGAAGCGCAAAAAGTATATTGTATTGAATGGCTTTACTTATCCCATCCCAAAATATTTTATCTTTTATCCAGGCTGTTGCTAAAATAATAACCTTAGGACACAATCGAGCTTGTCCTTGAAATGGGACTGATTTAATTAATATTGTTCTTCCTATCCCAAAATTTGATTTTCAATTTTATTTTCAGAAAAACTTATCTCTTCAGTGCTTTTAACTGACTATATAGGCTGTACTTCATATCATCTGCCTACACTGCAGTGCAATCCTCACCACAATGCTCAGAATTATCTGCTGCTATTTTAGCTTTCCACACCTTTTCTCAACAAGCCTTTTAACTTAGTCTCTGACTCTCATTATGTGTGCCAACTTATTTTTAATCTTCCAGGTGCTTACATCACGCCCAGGATCGACCCGAATCTTATGGCTTTGTTTTTAACTTTACAGCAGCTATCCTTTGTTTCTCACATACGCATTGGTCCTTTAAGGACTGCCTTCACAAACAAATAAAAAAGGAGGGATCAAGGGTACCTAATTTGGCATGGATAACTCGTCAAGTCAATAAAGTCCTAATAACTAAATCAGCTAAATATTTCTTTTCAAAAAACTACTGCCTACCAGTGTCACTTTCAGCAGAAAGCTGTACTCCCTAATCCATTGGTATGTTATCAGCGATTGCCTAATAAAACCTGGTTAGGTCCAATTCCCTTACTAACTTGGGGGCAAGGCTATGCTGCTGTGCTTGCTCCTACAGGCCCTCTCTGGATTCCAGACCAGTGTGTGCGACCAGCCAAAGATGTCATGGCATCAAGTCCAGAACCCAATGCTGGAAATGAAGCAGGTGACTCTTCAGACAGCACAACGTCCCTTTCGCTCTTGCCATCGCAGTTGACCAACAACCTGGGGTGATGTGAAGAACCTGACATCCAAAACGCAGGAGGTTCTGCGGCAACAGGGAAAAGAACCTACACCAGAGAATTTATGCGCTGCCATATTTGTGGTTTTGACTGCAAATTCCTTAATCATTCTTTGCCTCTCTTTCCTTCTTAATTGCTGTGTGGGGGCTCAGGTTCTCCTACCTCATCCTTTAGAACCACGGATGAAATATAATATTTGGGTGCAATTAGCTAATGTCACACAAGTGACAGATTTTTGTATTTCTGAATCATATGATATGGAAAATCTACTCTCTACCTGTCTTATACCTTTGTGTGTTCCAGCTTCAGTTTTAAAAAAATTATACTGGTTTAAGCAATTTTCTCTCAGACAATGAATTCATTATGCAACTATGTCAAACTGGAGTCCTGCTTCTTACATGTTATCCCTTGATGCTATTGTTTTACATACACCAATTGTAGCTGTTCCTACAAATCTTACTTGTGCTAAAATTGTCAATTGTACTACTTCACCTAAAAAACTTCATTGTATACATGTCAGTCAAAGAATTTTAAATTGTACCTCCTTTCAAGAGGTATCCTTTAATTATGCACATATATGGTTATTCAATGTCTTTTTTTCTCTATTTTCAATTTTCCATACTAAACTACCATTAACTTACCTCAGGAACAAGTTATGTTTTGTATAAACAAATGCAAAGTTATATGTCCCCTGACTAAGACCCACTAACTACTCCAGCTTAGGATAATGTCCTCACTAATAAAATAGAGAAGAGTGAGATGTGGGAAAAAAACAAACTGCCGTGCTTTCCCCCCCACAAACCTCATAACTTTTTGAAGCAGCCAGAAGATCATACCCTTTTGACTTTATGCCTCACCTAGCTAAACACATAATATGCTTAGTTCCTTCTCCTATCTCTTCCTGTCTTTGTTAGTTCCTTCTGCTTTCATCTCCCTGTATTTGTTCTTACCTGGTCTTTGCCCATGTAATGTGTTACTAGAAAATAGTTGCTTACATGAAGACATTTTCCAATGAAGAAACCTTTGTCAGCATCTAATGGTTAAGCTGGTGTATGTAACAAGTATATAAGAAGCAATAAACTCAGAGTTTGTCAAGCTGTGTCCTGCAGCTTCAAACCTCTGCTCAAAACATACCTGCGTGTTTTTCTTAGCGTCTTACAAACAAGTCTCTTAGAGAATAGCAGGTTATGTCTTAGACTTAGTTGGATCTTTTTAGGGTTTTTTTCCGCTCTATTTTAAGGGGGGAAATCCCCAAATCTTCAATAGTAATTAGAATAAAAATCAAGGAAGAAATATATATAGAGAGAACAGAGAGTTGCAAATCTTATAATCCACCAATTTTAGGAAATAGGATTCCAATTAAGATCTCAACATTTTAAACTCCCAAGTGGTTGATAGCTGCTGCTTCTGGAGGGAGGGCTAAAATCCCCTTTCCCTCACCACAGGGGGGAAAGTATTTTAACAGCTTATGCAGGTAATGAAGTAGTTAGGATGTAAGAGAGGCAAACCTCACCCAGTCCTGTCCACGCTGCTTTGAGGTTGCCAGATGGTAGTGTGACTTCGGCTGTTTGCAGCCTAGGGACGAGCCATATTTCTATGGCTGGTCCATTCATTCGCCGATTTGGAGGAATCGCCTGGTCTGACGGAAGAGTTGCTGCTCTCCTGGGATCCAGTGAAAGCCCCTCCTTGCTGGTTGCCTCTTCGGGGCGACTTTTGGCCCTTTTCAGGGCCTCCCAGCGATGTGAAACTGAATGGGGGAGAGACAGCAAGTCTCCCAACCGTCCATGGCGGCTGTGTGACGAACCGGAAGTCCTTTATTTCCTAAAAATGCTACTGCTGTGATCATGTAATAATTAACCAGTTTCCTATATTTATTTTCATTCTTCTGTTAGCATAAGAATCCTTAATTCAGTGTAGAAATTCACATATAAATTGATATACTCCCCAAACACTTTTTGCTGTCCCATATTAAATGCACACAATTAAATTCAATCTTTAATCTTGTCTGTATATAGTTTTATAATACTATGATTTTAAGTAGTCATGATGTACTACTCTGACTAGTGAATAGGCTCTATTAGAGAAGGAAGGAAATTTCTATAAAATAAACAAAATTAAAACAATGAAATGTGCCATTGTGAAAAGAGGGTCCTTTAAAAATCCCTGCAGTTTTCTTGGCAAGATTTTGGAAGTGATTTGCCATTGCCTTATTAGGGCTGAGGGACAGTGACTAGCCCAAGGTCACCCAACTGATTTCACGTCTAAGGTGGGATTAGAACTTATACTGTCTTGGTTCCTAACCTGGTGTCTTAAGCACTACACTAGACTGGCTCTCATTACCTTTACAATTTCATTAAATCTTTTTTAAAAATCCCAATCACTTTCATGATCCTGATTTTAAAACAATTCTATTATTCTAATTCTCTGGGTTGTTTACTATAGTATAACGGTAAGCCCCACAAAAGATGAAACATGTTCAATACAATTCATTTTTTAGTTTGAAAATTTTCACCATGAAAATACTTAAAAAATCAAACTGGGCAAAAATTATTTAAAGCAGAAATTGAAAATCTAAGATTCCCAGATACTTAAAGATTCTTATCACCACTAGTAGTATAGCAGGTGTCTAAAATGATTTGACCTCTAATCCAAACTACATCTTCAAGTTGTCAAGGTTAAGAAATACTTCTGTAGAGAATGGACATTCTAAGTTGCATGGAAAAAAATTAGTGGAAAACTTCCTGGCAAATGATTATCTCTAATTAGACATCATCCTTGTTTTTCAGAATATTTTATGCTGGCCTATAAAGTTACAAAAGGATGATTACTGAACAGCTGAAGTTTAGTTATTAATAGCCAAGGCATTGTAATTCAATGTATTATTTATTGAGCAGAATGCAGCTGCTTTACATTTAAGTGCACGGCACTGCAATTTTTAGATAACACATTTCAATAAGAAGCTGTAACTTGGAATAAAGACAAAAACATTCAGATATATTGAAAAAATAAGACGGAAGGGTGTGGTGTTACTTTTATTTAAATGCAAATCTTATGCTTACAACCTTCAGAGACTAGCCTTCTATTTTAAGATATAGAATGTATTAGTCCTCTACCCTTCTGAGTAAGTACTTAACGATAATTGTATTTAACAAAATTTCTACTGAATTTTTGAATACTGCTTTGCATTCAGTAGTTTTTAATAATTTATTTTTAAATGTAAAATTTGTGTTCTAGTTGAAATATGATACTGATCTACAAAATTTTAAAGAATGTGCCAAAGAATAATTGCAACTCTATGAAACTAAAAGCTCCTGAATTATTCTTACATTAAAATACAGAAAACAAACTTATAAAATAAATATTCAGTAGTAATTATTTTATTTAAAACTGTAAGTGCACTAATTAGGCAATTTCTAGCCATTAATATTTGATATAATCTTATTTCTTTTGAAGTTTTATTCTCTTACAGAACTGTTCACGAAGGTATATGACTATACTAAGGGGCTTTTTAATCAAATTCTTGTACTTTCAGTTAGCATGACCATTAAGAAAATTATTTCAATCCTACTTCCTGATGCAGAAATTTATGTAAATCTTTTTTGCCCAGTCAGTGCTGAATATAAACACATTTTTCACTGTAAACGTTTATCAAAAAGTAAAGCCATAGCTTTGATCTATATCCAGAATGTGAAATTTGGTAGCAATCAAGACAAATTTATATTTGAATAAAGACAAATTTATATTTAGAATAGGCCAATGAAATCAAAATAACCCATTAGCCATATTCCAGTAAATTGAATAGAAGTTCCCTCCAGACTTCCCCATTCAGCATGGGAAGTTAGGCAAAGAGAGAGTAGGTAACCTCTATTACTTGTTGACCTTGTGCAGACAGAACATCTGAGCAGCAGTCTCAGAAGAATATTTATATAGGGAGAGAAATTTGAATTTAGCAGACTAGGAAAAATGAATGCTGTACTGACCTGTCAAGAACAGATCAGGGAGAATCAGCTACAGCTTGGAATGCAGAACATATGGTTGTCCTTTGGATAAGGAAATGAAGAATGAAGAACTATTGAAGAATAGTTCTGCTATTTTACAGTAGCATACATACATTTTAATATACATGTATCAAAATAAATAGCTTGTCACATACTCAGATTACAGATACAGGTTTTGGTCTGGTTTCTTGCTAAGTATCACTAAGTCATCCTCCAAATTATAATTATGTCCTGCTTGTAGACATCATGCTTTCTGCGGAGAAATTATGGAATTCTTTTTACGTTCTCTGAAAATGTAATGTGAATTTTTATGAAGTATCAAAACTGTTCATGTAATTTCTTTCGTTTCGCCTTAAGCAAACATCATTCTGTCATCTTACATTGGTTTTGTTTTGAAGGCCTGCAGCTTGCCCTAAGATACAAATATGAGAACTGGACCTGTAAAATTTGTTATATATCTCTTTGCTGCCTGTGGTTTTTCAGATTTTTGCAGCCCAGGTTCATAATTCTGCTTTATGGAAAAAAGATTCTACACAAACGAGTGGCTCAAAGATGCAAAAATGTTTTGCTCTAATCACCTCAGGATGGAACAGATGATAATGTCTTACTTGTGTTCAAAAACTCTTTGCCAATTTTACTCCATTTCTTTGGGTTGTCTGCAATTTCATTGTTTTCAGCTCTCTACCTTGTTTTAGATCTAAGCCAATCAGCTGATCAGCAGTCTGCAACAAATGGTAACCTATCACCACAGGCTGTTTCCTTTTAAACTTAAGGAACTGTCTTGCCCCAATGGATTGGCTGCTCTACTCATGCTGGCAAGAGGCCTACTGGGGATCCCATCAGCCAAGGAATTTCAGCTTGTGGGATCCTGGAGTCTTTTCTGCCATGACTGCTACCCTTTGGAACATCTTGCCATAAGAAGTAAGAGCTGCCCCTCTCCTTTAGCCTTCAGGAAAATACTTAAAACCATGGCTATGCCTGCTGGCATGGGGTCTTGAAGGAAAAGCTGTTGGCTAGAGTTGGTGGTGCACTAACATAGAAAGTACCCCCACATCTCCACTTCAAACCCATATTTTCTAGGTTTTTTTTGTAATTTTAATCAGCTTTTATATTTATAATTGTTTGGATATTTGTATGCAAGTAGTCCTCGACGTTCGACCATAACTGAGCCCACAATTTCTGTTCCTGAGATAGTTGAGTTTTGTCCCATTTTACAACCTTTATTCCCACAGTTATTAAGTGAATCACTGCAGTTGTTAAGTTAGTAACCTATTTGTTAAGTGAATCTGGCTTCCCCATTGATTTTGCTTGTCAGAAGAGTGCAAAAGATGATCACATGACTCCAAACACTTGCAACTGTGATAAATATGAGTCATGTATAAGTATCTGAATTTTGATTACATGACCACAGTGATGCTGCAATGGTTTAAGTATAAAACATGGTCAGAAGTTGTTTTCAGTGCCGTTGTAACTTCGAATGGTCACTAAATGAACTGTTGTAAATCAAGGACTATCTGAATTTTCTCTCTCTGTAAGATGCTCAGAATCACCTCGAACTGCAAGATGGGAGGCAAATAAATGTAATACTAACAGAACTCCAGAGATCATTGAAAATTAACCTCAATGTAGGCTATGAAATTTTAACAACCGAAGAGCTAGCTTTGCTGTTCAGTAACAATGGTTAGACATCACTTGATTCATACCAGGAAGCCATAATTTATATTCAGAACTGACTAGCAGTGGAAAATCCAGACTAATCCACCGGTCAAAAAAAAATAAATCGGAGTTGCACGACATTTAATGGTTTATTCTGCAGGGGCCAGTATGATTGATGGAGTTTCAGCTTTTGCTTTGTTCCCTAAATAGGGTTTTCAGAAATAAATCTTGCTGTATATAATTACCTCGTTTCTTTTAAGAAGGCTGTGCTGCAGTCTGAATCTAGGATTAATCTCACTGGGAAGCAAATATGCATTTCTGCACTGCATGCAAAACTCTCTCTCTCTCTCTCTCTCTCTCTCACACACACACACACACACACCCTTTGCCAGTGCATTGTTAGCCTTTCAGAGACTTAAGGGAATCTACCTCATAGACACCCTCGAGGTTAGCATATTCTTTAGTCCTCTGTAAACCTAGCCTAGGACTGTTCTTCCAGAAACTAGCCACAATTTTATACCTAATGATGTAAAACTCAAGGGACAGATTCACGCCACCAGCATGCTAGGACAACAAATGGATGGAGGACCCCACCTCACAAAAGACCATCGGACGACGAAGCTTCTACAATCTTGAAAAACAAGAAGCACAGCGCTCCTCCCGCCTTTGTGTAATCTTTAAAACGCAACCATTGGCTGGCGATGACATCACCGTTGGGATTACAAGACTACGACCACTCCAGTTTGAGTGAGTACAAGGCGGAAGTTGCAAGCAACGCCTTCAGCAACCGATCTGGAAGCTCAGACGCGGAAGTTCGGGAGGGAAAGCAACTGCGATGATGGCTGCGGAGAGTTACCCGAGGTCGTCCATTGAGGACGATTTCAATTATGGCACTAACGTCGCGACGGCTAGCGTACACATCCGCTTGGGTAAAGAGTCCTGGTCAGACTTCTCTCACCCCCCCCCCTTGCCTTTTCCATTTTCCATTGAAGTCGTTGCCTTCACCACTTCTCAACGAAGCTTCCCCTTCTCCCGTTTAGCTCAAATCTTAATCTTCGAAGACGAAATTATTCCTGTTTGTAAATAGTCTTCCCTCCAGGCTATATTGCCTGTCGTGCTCGCTTTAGGACTCTGCCACTGCGCTAATGTGGCAGTGCTCGTCGGAAACCGTGGCGTTCATGGATTTTGTCATGCCGATGCCTTGGCCTTTTACCCAAAAGAGAATGCAGTCCCAGAACGTGAGGGCATGTCGTGGTGGGAAAGACTTGTCTTGATTACAGTTCTTCTGATGGTACTTTCTTATCAGAAAAATGATCCAGTATTTTTGCTTCCACATTTCAGATGCTCTCCTTTACAGATGAAACATGGCCATCCTTTAGGAGAGTAATGTGGCAAAGGTAGAACAAATCAGAGAATAATCTACAATGAACATCTTTATATGGGAAGAGTTGTTTAGTGTGGGCAACACTGCAGAGTTTTTAAATCCATTTTTAATAGAGCAATAGTGGAGACCTGCCCCATCTTAGATCAAGAATTCTACATGCATGGCTCTGTGGGGGAGTCTTGATCTACTCATATACTCACCACAATATATGTGTTTTTGGGTAAACAACTAGTGTCATAGTATGACTGTCCCCTGATGATTCAGTTTTTATTGCAATGGATATCATTAAAAATCTAAAGATTGAAGTGTAGAAACATACAAGAACAAAGTATAGATATTTGATTTCAGCATAAGTCTTGAAAATAAACAATAATGAAATGTGCTTATTTTCTATATTTTAGCTTTTCTGCGCAAAGTCTATAGCATACTTTCAATCCAGATTTTTTTGACAACTGTGACCTCTGCAGCTTTTCTCTATTCCACCACAATTCAGACATTTGTATATGAAAGGTAGGATCTATAGTGAATTTGGTTGAATTTGCTTCAATTTTTTTAATGGAAAATAAATATGGATCCAGTATTTCATGATTCTGCAAGATAGTCTAAGGCTGTTTCTCAACCTTGACAATGTTAAAATGTGTGGCGTTGAACTCCAAGATTCCCTAGCCAACATCTACAAAGGTTGAAAAACGCTGATCTAGGGAATTGTTTCTAGAAATATGTTCACTGAGGAGGGAGTAGGAAAGGAAAGATATTTGTCCCATCTAAACAGAGTTACTAGAAAAACATATTCATTTCTTGTTAAGTAAATTACATTGTTTGCTTGGGAGAGAAAATGTATAAGGATTCCACTATTTGTGGGTGTGAAAATTTGCTTGTAAGGGAAAAATTAGGTTTTGCTCCTACCTTTAATAATAGCCTGTTTCTTTTCTCCTTTGCCAGTAAGTAGCTCCTTCTCCATTCAGTTGTGTGTCTGAATGAAGCTATATAGTAATTAATATAATCATCTAGAAATAGATTGCTATTGCAAATGTCTTTTTATTTAAAAGCAGAGTTTAAATATATGAAATATTGATAACCTACCATAGATGTTATAATTCAGTTTAACTAACAAAGATGTTTTATTCTTTCTAAACTTACTGAAGTATTTTAAATATTGATAAGATTGTTTTATCTATTATTTTGGGGAAAACAAAAGATATTAGAATATTGTTTCCTAATATTATGTTGTCATACTTAAATTTACAGTCCTGCTTTACTTTTGATGGCCTTGCTTGGCTCTTTGGCTGTGATTGTGGCTTTAACTCTATACAGACATCAGTATCCAGTTAATTTATATCTTCTCTTTGGATTTGTAAGTATTTTTATAATGCATGACTTTGGTAGTTGCAGTTGATCTAGTGAGGTGAATTTATTTTATTGTATAGTTCTGTTCTCTTCCAATAAGTTTTTTTGTTTTAGCTTTGTTCTTCTAGTAGTTCTTCTATTAATATATATTGTTTTAAAAGGAAAATCATTTAAGCAGACATCTGTGGAATATATGCTGTCCCTTTGAAAATGATGTATACTATTTCCTTCTGCATAGCTTTTGAATATGCATAGAAGAGTAAATTTGCATATATCAGAAAATATATTTTAGAGACAAACCTAGCTGACCTTTTGTTCAGCAAATAGACTAGTTGACTTAATAATGATGTGAAAATGCTTGTTTTCAAAGGTATGTCTATGTGTAATTTGTTCTGATTAAAACATTTGGCTGATATCCCCACTTCTTCATAGGTAGCAGTGGTCAGTAGTAATAGTAGCATTGTCAACCTCCAGGTTCTGTGGGATGATGCAGTGATTAAGGTTTAATTAGTTGAATGATACTTTTTTTATTCCTTATAGACTCTTTTAGAAGCACTGACTGTTGCTATTACAGGTAAAATTTATCCTATTTAATTGACATCATCAGACCTTTGGTAGCTGCCTGAACTGAAAATATATTTTTCCAAGCCCAATGAGAGTTTTCTTTAGCAATCTTTATTAAGATAAAAGCAGTAGTGAAATAATTCCAACAAATTGATTTTTTTCCTCATAGCCTCACTGTACACAAGAAGTTTTCTGATAAATAGGCTGCAGCTGTGAATTATTTATACAATGGTTGCTTTTGTTCATATCATCTGTATATTCCATTCTGGCTCAGGAATTCTGGGAGTTGAAGTCCACAAGTCATAAAGGGGCCATCATTCCTCACCTCTGCCCTAGGAGCTGACAAAGTTATACTTGTGGGTGGGGAATGTCTCTCTCTTAACCCACCAAGTGTCAAGCAAGAAAGGAGCAGAATTATTTCAAAGTACTTATAGGCTGTTTCTAAAGACCCACCAGAGTGAAAGGAGATATATCATCAAAGATTAATGGCTAACAATGAGTATTGGCTTTTTAAATTAATTTTCACACCCCCTGTATTGCAAAACCTGGTGCTGTCAGTAATATATATTGACTTGAAGGCTATATGTACCTTGAGATGTTTGAATTATTTTTGTCTCTTGATTCAGTCTAGATATGAGGAAGATGAATAACGATGCCCTTGTACTCAAAAATTGAAGAGAGAAGGCCTCCAGACATTTTCCAAAGCATCTCAAACCTTTTGCTTTAAATTTATTTTCTTAAAATAAGAAAACATATGACTAAATCCAGATTTAATTTCTGTTAGGACCTTCTGGGTAAAAACAAATCAGTAATAGATTTTTCTGCGTGTTGTTATGTTATGTCCCATTCTCTCTACCCCCCACATTTCTGCTATGAAGTATTAATAGAACAAAATCTGTACTTTAAAATGTATACAGCTCATTACTTGTCATTCATATTCTCTTGACCTGTGAAGAGTTATACCAGATTTTAGAATTATGGTATTTTTTTGTATGAAAACTTTGATCAGTTTAAGACAAGATGATTAAATTTGTTTTTCCCTCCTTGCTAGTGACTTTCTATGAAGTATCAATTGTGCTACAAGCCTTTATTCTGACAACAACTGTGTTTTTGGCCCTTACTTTGTACACATTGCAATCCAAATGGGATTTCAGCAAAGCTGGAGCTGGGTAAGCTAGTTTCTGTTATATACATTGGCATTTGGGCCTTTTGAGTGACTCTGTCTTACTGGAATAATAATCAGTGATGACGGCTTCTTTTAAGATTTGTTGATATGTTGTGATTGCAGCAAAAGAACCAAGGCAGGGGATTTTCAGGTTTGCTTTGTGAATGAAAAAAAGAGAAATAGTTGATAATTATTTCAATTATGTGATTTTATATTTAATAATATATAGGAAATAAGTGTATCTACATTTTAAAAGAGCTAAGTTAAAAGCATACTACAAATAAGACATTTCTGTGCCTTCTCAGGCTGTTTACTTGCTTATGGATTCTTCTCCTGTCAAGCTTTTTAAAGGTAAGAGGTTATTTATCTTAGATAATTAAAATTTTGGAGGATGTCAACTGTTTTATATAGATTAAATTATTAGGTGCTAACCCTCATTTTAAAATCTTGTTTTTTAAAACTGATAATTGTGTTCTTTTTCAATGCAAGTCTTATATGTGCATTTGGGGATTATGAGCATGTAGCTTATTAACGAAAATGGGTGAAATTGAAATTAGTTTTAAGAGTTTTTAAATTAAGCAATGTATGTAAATAAATGCATACTGTTAAGATCAAACTTAAACAGGTTTTATCTTTTAATTTTTTTTGCTCCACAAACTTGAAGTTTCAACATTACACTCTCAAAAATAACATCTCAATTCAAATAATCTTACATAAAAATGATTATTCTACAGAAATCAGATAGATACCAATATTTGTAATTCAGAGGCCTTCTTTTAATATTATTATTATTATTATTATTATTATTATTATTATTATTATTGATAGCTAAAATAAAGGAGCTTTTTTCATTTTGAGGCTGGCCAGTCCAGGCATGGAGAATGATGATCAGCAGATATCATGATCTACAAAGCCATGGTTTCTGCAGTTCAGCCATACATTCATTAATCCCGACTCAGTTTGATAACCTGCTGTGCAGGTGCCCACTTCCAATCATTTGTGGCTGTTCCTAGGTCTATAATGAACAGACAATGTGATTGCAGTCCTCTACACACTTCTCTCAAGAAAGCTTCATTGAATAAATATATAAAAATTAAGCCGGAAATGGTCCCAGCAGCTGTGAAATTGTCATATGTCTGTCCATGTAACTTTAAAGATATGGTTCACAGTAAAATGGGAAAACAATGTATTGTATGGTAATACAGTTTAAATAGATGGAGTGATTTTGTCAGAGATGAAGGTGATACAAAACATACTGACAGATAACTTATTGTTTAATAATAACATTGTAAATCTGTGAAAGAAGAGCAGGAAAAGCTTTTAGATTTATGCAGAGTGCAAAATCCAGATGATCTAATTCATTCAATTTCTTGAAAAGTTCATTGAAGTATTTTTTAGATTGATTATTGTGTTAGCAATGCTATTGTGAGAAAACACCCAATTATTCCTTTAAAAGAGTTGCAGCATGAGAAGCCCTTTAGAAAAGCAGTATTCTCAATGTGGTTGGTTTTATTTATTCAAAACTATGCTCATACACATTAAATTAAGAAAATGCAGTTGTACTGAAATTTAAAGACATATCTAATTTGAACTGAAGTTAGATCTGTTGCTTTAGGAAATCACTGGCAATTATAGGATATGACAAGATCTTATTTTGCTGGTAACAGGGGATGTCTTAAAGTCAAATGAATGATCTCTATCTAGAATCTAGAAAATAGTATTAATTGTACTCAACTTTTCCATTAAAAATCATTTTTTAAAGTTTAAGTTATAATACCATTATAAGTAAGTAATTTTAATATTTTTATATTAAAAAATTACACTAAACCTGCATTTATCTGCTTCTTGTTTTTAGTTCTTTTTCAATAATGAAATAGTAGAGCTGGTATTTGCTGCTGCAGGAGCGCTTCTGTTCTGTGGATTTATCATCTATGATACTCATCAATTAATGCACAAGCTCTCTCCGGAAGAATATATACTAGCTGCAATCAATCTTTATTTGGACATCATCAATCTGTTTTTGCACCTGCTCCGTTTGCTAGAAGCATTTAATAAAAAATAATTGGTAGTTTTAATGCAAATTTGAGATAATTTATATGCAGTATCTAAAGAATTAATTAAGACCTAGAAAATCTGCAGTCTACTTTGAGAATGAAGCCTGGTTTTACATTCTGTCCTGGCTTCAGTGTTTTCTGTATAAACAGTGTTTTAGAGAGTGGATTTTTACTGAATCTATTCTGAGATCAGTTAATTGCAGGCACCTTGGCTATTTGGCAAAGGCTTACTCCATCTATTTGCATATTATTAGTATTGATTGAAAGACTTGCTCATCAGCTCATTTGTGCCAATAAGTACAATTAAAATTCTATTTTATTCCTGCAGTAATTGCCACAGATGTATTCTTTGAGAATCACAGTTGTTGCTAGTTAGATAGCATAATTCTCCTTGATTTCACTATTGAACACTGAAATTTTAAATAAGCTTAAATTCTATTTTTGTTCTTTTACAAAAAACTTTATGAGCATTTTTATTTGAAGAACTGATCCTACAACATAATTTTGCGCCTCTCACCCGGACAATGACCATACTAGCCCCCATCATGCCTGAAGCTGTAGAAGTCAGGGCATTAATTGACTCCAGCTGCACCCGCTGCCTTATCAGCCCAACCTAGTGGGGAACCTAGGCATTCTGGTGAGGAGCCTGAAGAAAGCGATCTCTTTTGATCAATTAGATGGGTCCAGAGCAGGGGGGATGCCCGCCATTGTAGCCACATTACCACTCCAACTTATCCTGGGGGATCATCTAGAGATTATAACATTCATGGTAACCCCAGGGATAGAATGCTCCATAATTTTAGGCATGGCATGGCTAGCCAAGTGGAAGCCACAGGTGGATTGGAGGACAGCAGAGCTTAGATTCCCAAAAGGAGAACCAGCCAAGACACTGAATCAGCCTCCCTTCCAGGAGCCCCTGTAAGAGAAAGCAGCAATAGGACAAGAGAAGGAACTGCCTGAGATACCCGAGGAGTATAGGGACCTAGCGGAAGTATTCAGCAAAGAGAGGTCTGAGGAATTGCTGCCGCACTGGCCCACAGACTGCAATTGCAATCAGGCCGGGGGCAAAGCTTCCAAAACCCAGACTGTATTCCATGAGTCTACAGCAGTGGTTCTCAACCTTTCTAATGCTGCGACCCCATAATACAGTCCCCCATGTTGTGGTGACCCCCAACCAGTTATACATCACCGGGTGCCAGGAGCGTGGCCAAAGAAAAGGGAAAAATGGCGGACAACCTTGTTTGGCAACCCCCATGAAATGGTCGTTCGACCCCAAATGGGGTCCCGACCCACAGGTTGAGAACCACTGGTCTACAGGAATTGGAAGAAATGCAGAAATTCATAGATACAAATTTAGAGAGAGGTTTCATTCAACCAGCAAAACCAAAAGTGGCTGCCACTGTCTTATTCAGAGAGAAAAAGGATGGGACTCTTCGCCTCTGCGTGAACTATAGGGCTCTGAACGCCATAAGTGAAAGCAATCTATACCCTCTCCCCCTCATGAAAGACATGCTGTCCCATCTTTCGAAAGGAAAAATCTTCACTAAGTTAGACCTGAGGGAGGCCTCAGAATCAAGGAAGGAGATGAATGGAATAGCGTCCTTTAGGATGCTACCAATTCCGGGTCCTGCCTTTTGGACTACAGGGAGCCCCAGATGTCTTCATGTGGCTGATAAATGATGTATTAAGGGAGCCTATATTATTATTATTATTATTATTATTATTATTATTATTATTATTATTATTTAATTTTATTTATATGCCGCCCAATCCCAAAGGACTCAGGGCGGCGTACAGAGTTAAAACAATCATAAAACAATAAAATAATACAGTCATACCGCGAGTCCGATCATATCCCGCCCCCCCCCCAGGGACATCAGCCCCAGGCCTGCCGGAACAGGAGAGTTTTAACGGCTTTCTTAAAGGCCGGCAGGGTGGGAGTAGTTCGAACCTCGGGGGGAAGTTGATTCCACCAGGTCGGAGCCACCACAGAAAAGGCCCTTCCCCGAGGGCCCGCCAGCCGTCATTGTCTGGCCGACGGGACCTGAAGGAGGCCCAATCAATGGGACCTCACCGGTCTCTGGGAACTGCGGCAGAATGCGGTCCTGTAAGTAACCTGGCCCTATGCCATGAAGGGCTTTAAAGGTGATAACCAACACCTTGAATTGCGTCCGGAGACCCACAGGAAGCCAGTGCAGCTCGCGGAGGATAGGTGACACGTGGGCGTACCTTGGCGCGCCCACAATCGCTCTCGCGGCTGCGTTCTGAACCAACTGCAGCCTCCGAACGCCCTTCAAGGATAGCCCCATGTAGAGCACGTTACAGTAATCCAGTCTTGAGGTGACAAGGGCATGAGTGACTGTGAGTAAAGCTCCCGGTCCAAATAAGGCCGCAACTGGTGCACTAGGCGAACCTGTGCAAAGGTCCCCCTGGCCACAGCCGATAGATGTTGTTCCAAATTTAGCTGTGAGTCCAGGAGGACACCCAAGTTGCGCGCCTGCACTGAGTGAGGTAAATTTGCCCCCCCCCCAGGACTAATGATGGACCATCCAGTTGGCCTTTGGGAGGCAAGACCCAGAGCCACTCGGTCTTGTCAGGGTTGAGTCTAAGCCTGTTCACCCCCATCCAGACCCTCACATCTTCCAGGCACCGGCACATCACGTCGACTGCTTCACTGAAAGGACACGGGGTGGAGATATATAATTGGGTATCATCCACGTACTGATGATACCTCACCCCGTGTCGCCGAATGATCTCACCCAGCGGTTTCATGTAGATGTTAAAAAGGAGGGGGGACAGGACCGAGCCCTGAGGCACCCCATGATCGAGGCGCCTAGGGGTCGATCTCTGTCCGCCCGCCAACACCGACTGCGACCTGTCAGAGAGGTAGGAGAATCACCGCAATACGGTGCCGCCCTATAAAAAAGTGTGTTGGTTTACGATATCCTTATATTCACAGAAACTATGGAGCATGTAAAATTAGTTAGAGCGGTCCTAAACAAGCTGCAGGCGGCCCATCTCTATGCCAAACTATCTAAATGTGAATTTCATAAAGACAAAATAGACTATCTGGGATACTGCATCTCCCCCGAGGGCATAGAGATGGATCCCGAAAAAGTCAGGGCGGTATTAGAATGGGCAGCACCCCGCACAAGAAAGCAACTACAAAGCTTCTTAGGGTTTGCCAACTTCTACTGCCAGTTTATTCCCTCATTTGCTTAGATAGCCTCACCTATTACGAAGTTGTTAAAAACCAGGTGGGAAGGCAAACCAAAACCCAGCCAGCCACTGAAATGGACGGTAGAATGCCAAGCTGCATTCGAGAGGCTGAAAAGATTGTTCTCCGCCAAACCCGTTCTGTGGCACCTTTTTGTGATCCAAGCAGACGCTAGCAATGTAGCGGTGTGGGCCGTATTGTTGCAGGGAAATGATAAAGGGGTACTACAGCCCTGCACATACACATTAAGGAAACTCCCCGAAATTGAACAGAGGTGGGTGGTCTGGGAAAAAAGAAGTGTACCCAGTGAGATGGGCACTTCTCACCTGGCGGCATTTCCTGGAGAGGAACAAAATCCCCTTCCAGGTGTGGACCGACCATAAGAACCTGGAAGCACTAAAGATACCACAAAAACTTACCCCTAAACAAGCCTGGTGGCTGCAACATTTCCACTGGTTCATTTTTACTATAAAACATCTACCAGGGGGAAGAATTTTCTGGCAGACGCATTATCCAGAATGCCTCAATACAATAGCACACGACCCAGTGTGACAAAACCACTCATGCCTGAAACACAGCTGGCAGCACGAGTAACTCCTGAGCACAAGCCAAGCTACAAAAATCCTTAGCCAGCCAGGCAGGAATTGAATTCAGGAAAGCACTAGAAACCGATGAGTGGTTCCTAAACCACAAAAACCTGTGCACCATTACAGATGGACTACCATGGGTAGGGGAGAAGCTATACATACACAAGAGTCAGAGACTAGCATTCATGCAGCTTTGCCACGATTCAAAATTGGCAGGCCATCTTGGATTTGTGAAAACGCTACACTTAGTCAAGAGACAGTTTTGTTGGCCATCTATTTAAAAAGACATTGAAAGCTATGTGGCCAGCTGCCCAACATGTGTATCAGCTAAAAGATTGTAAGGAAAATCACCTGGACTACTACAACCGGTAGCAACCCCTTCAGCACCCTGGAAAGAAATTAGCATGGACTTTATAGTAGAACTACCAGAGAGCAGCAGAAACACAGTCATTTGGGTCATGACAGATCTATTCTCCAAACAAGTACAATTTAAACTCTGCTCAAAAATCCCTATAGCAAAGATACTATCTATCACTTACATGGGGCACCCCAGCGCATCATATTGGATAGAGGGGTGCAGTTCACGTCAGAGTTCTGGAAGGAATTTTTAACTCTTTTAGGGACCATCCAGGGGCTGTCATCTAGTCATCATCTGCAAACGAATTGTTAGAACAGGATGTTCGAACTCAGTACTTGAACAATATCTTAGATGTTTTATTAATTACCAACAGACAAACTGGACTGACCTGCTTCCATTTGCCAAAGTCACTTAGAACAATGCCATTCATTCTAGCATGGGCTACACTCCATTCCAAGTAGCCACAGGACAAAGTTTCAATCCGATGCCAGAGCTGTCACCTACTGAACCTGCCATCCCCTCACTAAAAGAATGGATCACACAATTAAAAAACACCTGGCCAGTAGTTAGGAAAGCACTGGATGAGACTAGACAAGCAGACAAGGCTCAAGCAGACAAAAAGAGAGTCGAGCCAAAACCTTTCACTATAGGAGAGATGGTTTACCTATCTACCAAATATCTAAAATCCCTGCAACATCAAAGAAACTAGAACCCAAATATGTAGGACCATTCCCCATCATTAGAATCATAAACCCAGTAACAGTGGAATTAAAATTACCAAAAACCCTCAGGCAGATTTACCCGATTTTTCACTGTAGCCTCCTAAAACACGAGCAACAGTCACCTTTAAGACCAGCTGTTGTTCCACCTCCTCCTCCCATTATAGTTGAAGGAGAACAGCATTTTGAAATCAAAGAAATCCTACACTCCAAGAAACACCACGGCACGACCCAATATTTAGTAGCATGGAAACACCTCCCATCCTCAGAAAATTAGTGGGTCCACAAATGCCACATTAACGCCCCTTAACTGCTCAAAAAAATTTACACTGAATGTCCAAACAAACCTGTTTAACCTATATACATTTATCTCTATTTCTCCACAGGTGGATCTCTCTTTTTTTAAGGGAGGCAGGATGTCAAAACCCATATCTTAACAAGTCCCT